ACCTGTTATTAAAAGCACTAGGCTACTTCTGCTGCTGTACTGGGTCAGTGTCAATTCCTAATTTGCGTTTAAATTGAAAATATTCATAATTTGTTTGTGCTTTCAATGCTTGCTATTAATTTTCCTTATTAATTTGGTGAATCAGTTTCCGAAAAAAATAAAAAATGGCAAACGCAGCAAAATTCCAGGCCTTCTCATCAACAGATTATTTGAAACGACAACAAATAATAATAATAATAATAATAATGATAATAATAATAATAATGATAATGATAATAATAATAATCATCTTGTATCAGGTTGCACGATATTGGCACCCACTGAATATAAAACCTGGCATGACAGAGTGGGCCAATACTTGCACTGGAAAATCTGCAACTTCTACGGGAAGGAAACTGAAAGAAACTGGTATGAACACCACCCAGACCCGGTTACGGAGATAGGACCTGTTACAATTCTATGAGACTACACAGTACACACTGACAGAACAATCAAAGCCAACCGCCCAGATATTGTTATTAAAGACCACAAACAAAAGCAGTTCCTCCTTATTGATATGGCAGTCCCTGCTGACTGCAATGTATCTTTGAAGATAAAAAGCTGTCAAAATACAAGGACCTTGAAATAGAAATCTCGAAAATGTGGCATATGGGAACATCAACAATCCCCGTTGTAGTTGGAGCCCTAAGACTGGTTGGAAAAGATTGCAGTAGACTAATTGAAGGGATTCCTGGAAATCCATGCCTCAAGGAGATACAAAAAATTGTTCTGACATGTACAGCCCACACTTTACGAAGGGCTTTATCTATGTAATATTTTTTTTGTCAGTGGAAAGCGTCATGATGCTATTTCTAACCTTAGGTCCTTGGGCGGGACCCGGAAAGAAATGTGTACACAACAGAAATCAAAGAAAATAAGAACAATAATAATAATAACAACAACAACAACAACAACAACTAGCAATACCCGTGAAAATTGAATTTTCCGATGAATCTTAATTCTTAAGTTAATGATTGAATAAGCTCCTAATTCTACGACAATAATCCCTTATACACATGGAAATCTCCTATTTCCGTATGAGATATTTGAGCTTAACATATTTAACAAAATATCACAACAGCAATGATAAATATGAATGCAGGAGTAAGGGAGTACAAATGAAAAGATTTAAAATTAACACGTTTTTTCATTTCACTGATGCAGACGTTAAACACATAAGAGTGCTATCGCCCCCTCTATCTTTCTTTTTTCTTTCTTTCTTTTCCCTTCCTTTCCCAAGAACTAAACAGTGTATTTGATATATCTTTTCTTCCGTTTTAACAGAAGACAGGTAAACTATTACGTCTATCAACTGTCAAACAGGAATGGCCCATTGTTTATCTGCGGTAATGGCAGGGCGCACCATACATGCTAACTAAGGAACGGAGAAACATACGGAATAATAATAATAATAATAATAATAATAATAATAACTGGCATGGCTCTGTGTCCGTCGAAGGGAGCTCCGAGGTGGACAACTGAAAGAGTTGGTCTCAGGCACGGTAGGGTTTCTAATGGAAAATCAGGCACCCACTGGTCGTATCATCGAATGATAAAACGCATCTTTATTCGGACATACTAATAAATGCCCATCACTGATGTAGCTGTTCCTGAGCATGGCATGAAGACCAAAGAAAATGAATTGCTCATGAATACAACGAGCTCCGGACTGAAATATGAGACTTCAAGCCACTATTGTCCCAGTTATCGTTGGAGCATTAGGGTCTGTACCACCGAACATGAAGTCCTACATCTAGAAAAATAGAATAAAGACTCGTATTCCATCGCTCCAGAAATCTGCGTTACTTGGGCTTGTATATATACTGAAAAAGGTCTTTTCTGTCTGGTGTCATATGACTTAATGAACAGCATCCATAATGCAAGATATCTGCTTGAAAATGAAAACCGTACTTAAGAAATACTACTAGTAGTACCACTACATCGGCTATGGCTCTCCACTTATCTGTTCTTAATTGATTGGAAGTGTTAACGTACATAGGTCTTGGAAATTAAGATAGGCTACTGTAAATATTCAGTTCAATACCCCAGGTTTTCTTGTCAATTGCCTGACCTTAACTAGTCGAACATGACCCCAGGAGCTGACACACTGTACATATCTGTCCATTAGCAGGAGCAGTGCGAGCGCATCATGTCGGGTGTCTATAGTATCATTTTTGTTTTTTTGTTTTTGTTTTTTTTTAAGTTTGAAAAATAACGCCGCCAAGGCAATTTAGGAGTCACATCAAGATACCGGCTGGTCTCTCCTCAACCGGAGATCGTCTGAGTGGATTACGAATTAAAAGTGCCGCTTTTATGAAAACCTATTATCATATCATGTACATTTGGCTGTGGTGCATGTATTTTTGTATAACCTTATCAAACCGGGTGTCATGATAGGTATATTTGGCTTCAAATATTTGTACTCCAACGTCACTTTATGAGCGTGCTGCCCTCTCACTCA